GATTCTTTTGTTGCAATATTGTTTCAATCCAAATTATGAACGAACAGGGTAATTTAAATGAATTTTCAAATAAATGGCAAACTTTCTGCCATATGCAAAGGATTTTTAGATCTTACATAGATTTGAGGCATCCATCATAGTATGCTTTGCCACACTTTAAAATTGTAAGATTTATCATATTTGCTCTCAAAACCCAGAAAAGGGAGTTCCTTACATCGTACAGTAACGACTGTTCGAGGTGTGTCCCCGCCATGGGTACTCCACAAAAGGGGTGGGGACATCCCGGAGCCATGGAACAGAGCTTTTCAAGTAGTGTCTGTGAGCAAGCGCAGCTTGCCCTCCCGCTCTCCCCGTCAGTTCCTTTTCTCCATTCAAGTAATTGGGACTCTGAATAGAGGGGAGGAAGGGAGAGTCATGGAGCACCCATGGGGGGGGGAGGGGGACACACCTCGAAGAACAGTCATTACAGAATGGTGGGAATTGAAGTCACTGCTTAGAAGCTATAGGTAGCACTGCCATAGCCAGTGCTGAATCGACAGCCAATTGTGGCATAATGGCGTAATGCGTAGCCAAAGTATGATCTGAGGACTAAGTGGCTGCCCTGTAGATATCTTAAGTGGTACGTTGGTAAGGAAAGCCGTGGAGGTTGCAGCTGCACAGGCAGAGTGAGCCTTCAGAGGAATCGGCAAGGGCTTGTGGCGGAGGGCATGGCAACGTAGTATGCAGGATGAGACCCATTTGGAAATACATTGGGTTGAGATAGGCGCGCCCTTCGAGTGTGATGAGATGGATATGAAAAGCATGAACATCTACGGAATGACCATGTTCTGTCAATATAGAAGGCTGCATGACATTCCTGGGGCATGCGTGAGGCTTTGGAAAGAACGCTGGTAGCACTATAGGTTGGTTGATGTGGAAGGACGTGCAGACTTTGGGTAAAAATGTTGGATGTGGGCGTGTGTGGGGGGGGGGGGGGGGGGGGAGGAGTCTACCATGAGAGCCCCTAATTCACCAACCCTCCTCACCGAGGTGATGACTGTAAGGACTAGCACCTTCATTAGTAAAAATTGAACTGGGCAAGTGGCCAAGGGCTCAAAAGGGGGTCTCATGAGACAGTAAGACAAGCTTTAAATCCCACACAGGGGGACGCGCCCTGACAGGACGATAAAAGATTTTGAGAACACTTCTAAAGGGTTTCCATTGTGGGGTGCGCAAATACAGATGAGCTGTCTATGCTTTCATGAAGAGCTGATATCACTGCAAGGGCTACCCTCATGGAGGGATCTGATAGACCCCCGGATTTGAGATGTAGGTACTTAAGAATCTGGTGGAGTGGTGTGGTGTGAGGATCTGCATGGTACAAGTGACATCAGGCTGAGGATCTTTTCCATTTTTGCATGTAGGTAGCCCTGGTGAATGGCCTTCTGCTCAGTAGGACGACTGCTTTTACACAATCTGAACATAGGGATTCTGTACCTTGGAACCAGAGAGGAGCCATTCATATAGGTGAAGCGTCTGGGTTGTGGAAGGAGTAATCTATCCTTATCCTGAGATAGGATGTCATGATGGGATGGGAGAGGATATGGCATAGCCGCAGACACTGCGTGCAGAAATGGGAACCAGGTCTGTCTGGCCCATGATGGTGCTATTAGTATGATTAGAGCCTCATTGATCTGGATCTTGCTTAGAACTCTGGGTATAAGCGGGATGGGTGGGCAGGCATAGTGCAGTGGCTCGTTCCAACGGATGAGGAAAGCATCGCCCTGAGATCCCCTGCCTAGAGTGGCTCTCAAGCAAAAATGAGGATATTTAGTATTGTTGGGAGTCGAAGAGGTCCATACTTGGCACACCCCCAGTGGTGAAAGATGGAGGTGAGTATGGCTGGGCATAATTCCCATTCGTGGTTGGAATTGAAACTGAGGCTGAGGGCATCCACCTGAACATTGTTTATTTCAGGTAAGTATGAGGCCTTCAGGGTGATACCATGATGGATGCACCAATTCCAGAAGCAGATTGCTTCAGCGCACAGTGATGGGGAGCAAGCTCCTCCTTGTCTATGCAAAACATGGTTGTCAGGTTGTCAGTAAGTATGTGAAGGAAATGGTTGCACACATTCCTCATGGCCCTGAACTTCAGAAGGTTGATATTTAATGAGGACTTGTGTGTTGACCACCTGACCTGAACTGTGTATTGAAGGAGATATGTGCCCTAGCCAATAAAGGAGGCCTCTGTGGTCATCTGCCTGGATGGTTCAGGCTGGTGGAAGTGGATGCCTGTTAGAAGGTTGGTGGAAATTGTCCATGTGAGTGAGTCCAGCACCTTCTTTGGGAGTGTTTCGTGAGAGGGGTCCCTGAAGAGGGGCAGGGAAAGGGTATGGGCAGGGGGAAGCAACGTAAAGAGAATGGTGTATCCTGTGCAGATAATCTCCAAGAACCATTGATCTGATGTTATGACATCCCACTGATGGTAAGTAAAAGGAATGAAGTTGGTTGATGAAGAGATGGTAGTGGCTTGTTGGCAGAGGCCAAGGTGGGAGGTCGGGCAGGCTCCTGACCAAATCCTCAAACCTGCTGTTTTGTTGTCTGGGAGCCTGAGGAGCGGATTAGAGGGGGGCGTCTCCTCTGAGGGCGCTGTCTAGGGCAATTGTAGTCCTACTGTCTTTGTAGGACACGGGGTGTAGTAGCTGTCCTTACTTTTGTTGTATGGGGTATCACGCCTGCAACAGTATGGCAAGGTGTACATGCCAAGTGTACGGAGGGTAGTGCAGGTGTCCTTGCTACTATGTAGGACTTCATCCGTGGTAGCCGCAAAAAGCTTGAGCTTATCAAAGGGGAGGTCTTCTACCCTTGACTGGAGTTCTTTGGGTACCCCAGCTGATAGAAGCCAAGAGGCTCTTCTCATCACTACAGCTGTAGCCGTTGCCCTGGCTGCTGTGTCAGCTGCATCTATTGCAGAAAGGAGTGCTGTACGAGCAAGTGTATGACCCTCATGTATGATTCCCCTAAGAATGGGCCTTTTGGATTCAGGAAGGCGTTCCAGCTTGGAATAGCTGTCAAAGTCGTGGTTTGCCAATAAGTCTGTGTAGTTGGCAATTCTTAATTGAAGAGTGGCCAAAGAATAGACCTCCTCCCCCCCCCAAACAGGTCTAACTTCTTGTGTTCTTTGTCATTGGATGCTGGTTTGGTGCGGGGGGCTTTTGCACGTTGGTTGGCAGCAGCGACAAGAGAATTAGGTTGTGGATAGGAGAAAAGGAAATCTAGGTCTTTTGGTGGCACAAAGTACTTCCTGTCGGATCTCTTACATGTTGGCTGAATTGACGCAGGAGTTCACCAGATTTCATCGGAGACCTCCATTATTGCCTTGTCAATTGAGAGTGCAATTCTCCCCTGTGAAGCAGAGTGGATATTTTTCAAAAGTCAGTGCTGTTTCTCCCCTACTTCCTGCAGGTGGACCTCTTATGTTGTTGCCACCCTTTTCAACAGCTCCTGAAATTGTTTAGGTCATCTATTGGGTGAGTGTCGTCCAGTATTACCGCCTCTTTGGAGATGTGAGGAAGCACTGTCAGGAGGCAAATCCACCTAGCGAAACTCAGTATGTCTGTTGGAGTTGACCTTCCTCCTCTTCATCAGTCTACTGTGGTCAGGGAGGATGGAGGTAATCTTAAGGTAGAAGATGAGGCATAGTGTCTTTTCCGTACGCCCCAGTGCTCTGACAGAGCCCACTGGGGTGGATAGTGGGGTGGAGGGTATGGCCACTCTGAGAACCAAGGAGAGTATGGTGGTTTATTATGGTAGTAGTAAAGATGGTGAGGTGTAGTACGTGGTGAGTGCTGTGAGGAAAAAACACTGTATTGTTCCCCCCCAATTAAAAGCATCCTCCTCTGACTGTACTGGAGATCTGGGATAATGTGGAGAAAGCCTGAAGGAAGGCTGCATTGGGGAAGCTCCTCTGGAATGCAGAGGTGAAAGCTGTGCTATGCTGTCTGTGCCTGCATCATGTTCAGACTAAGCTGGAGCCTCCTTGGGAGGCAGTATGGAGCTGGGGAGTGACAGGTTCTCATCCAAAGCCCGCTCCTTATGAGCGGGCTGTTTAACTGTCTGCAGCATAGGTGTTGCATCCCTCAGTAATGCCAGCACTGGTGTGCGTGAGCGCCAGGAAGAGCCCTTTGGTACTGAGGCTGATCTTTTCAGCACCAAGGCTGAGCGTGACTTGGAGGTCGCAGTGCTGGTCTGAGCACTTGATTCCCCTGTGTTGGGGGTGCTCATCTTGTCCCCTCCAAGCACTCGGGAGGATGGGACGAGGGGCGGAGATCTAGATGAAGATGGTCCCTTTTTAGCCCGTCCATGTGGTAATGGTGAGGCAGATCTCCTTCTGGCAGACACTGCTGCTGGTAAAAAGGCTTGGGAGCATTCAGGCTGCATCGCCTTGTCCAATAAAATTATGTGGAGCCAAAGCTCCCTGTCTTTTCTTGCTCTCGCTGAGAGAACGGCAGAGCTCGCATTTCTGGGATACATCTGTTTCCCTGAGACAGGGGATACAGTCTGCATATTTATCAGAGACCAGCATCGGCTCCTGGCATGAGTGGCATTTTTTAAAGCCAGATTAACCCAGCATCGCGCCATCTGTCAGGGTTGCAGGGAGCGTTCTATAAGGGGTCCCTGTCTTTTCTTGCTCTCGCTGAGAGAACGGCAGAGCTCGCATTTCTGGGATACATCTGTTTCCCTGAGACAGGGGATACAGTCTGCATATTTATCAGAGACCAGCATCGGCTCCTGGCATGAGTGGCATTTTTTAAAGCCAGATTAACCCAGCATCGCGCCATCTGTCAGGGTTGCAGGGAGCGTTCTATAAGGGGTTGCCCCTGTGACTGTTACCGCCGTTAAAGCTCTGTTGTTAAAATTGTTTTTCTGGTTTTTTTTTAAAATTTTTTTTTTTTTTTTTTTTTTTTTTTTTTTTTTAAGGGATGGGAGCGGCTGGGTCTCCGTGAGAGGCTGACAGATTTTTTTTTTTTTTTTTTTAAACAGGATGAACCAAAGCATCACCACACAGTGAAGAGATAGGGAAAACGAAACCAGATAGGAGAAGCTGAGGAGAATGAAGAGCTCCAGCTGTGACTGGTAGAAGAGGAACTGAAGGGGGAAGAGGGTGAGCCACACGCAAGGTGCCAAGCTGAGCACAGCGCAAGGCTCCCTTCGTGCATGCGTGGCGCTCAGACAATGCTTGAAAAGCTCTGCTCCATGGCTCCAGGATGGCCCTACATCTTGCGTGGAGCACCCATGGGGACATCACCCGAAGAAGAACCAAACTTGATAGTAGGATAAAATATCAGGAGAAATCAGACCTTACCAGAAAGCCTATGTCACATTTGAAATATGCACATAGTCTGGCTCAGACTTTTCCAGAATGTATGAGCAACAAAAAAAAAAAAAAAAAAAAGAGGACACCACTGAAAATGTCCAGGTCCTGTGACCTGCATCCCTGCTACAAAAAAACCTGAGACACTTATGCTGAGCCCAGGTGGAACAATACCAAACAACTGAGTCTTACACCATTTGGGGCTTTACAGATAGCAACCAGCATCTTGAATTAAATTCCATTGTGAATTGGGAGTCAATCCAAAATTCAATGCACAAGTACAATATACTCCTACCTCTTTGCCCTAACTCAACTGTCAGGTAGCCGCACATATTCTGCACCAGTTGAAGTTTCTGGACAGCCTCCAAGGTTAGCCCCACGGAAAGCTTTTGAAACTAGTCCCTAGCCTAGAGATTATAACTATTGATAACCGCAGTGAAGGTCTCATCTGAAGAGGAAAGGATACTATGTCCAGATTCAGAGGACAACTTATTCAGGAAAGTGGCACAAAAGTCCAAAAACAAAAATGTCTAATAAAACCTTAACACTGAGCCGTCAGTGGATGCAGTGGTTAGACTCACTCCTCAAAAGTACATTTTTCCTGTCAATCAGCATTGCCTTAATATTATCCAGATTAATTTATGAAATACCCTGCAAATAATGAAAATTTATTTTACAAAAACTAGATTTGGGCAATTATATCCCTTTATTTAGCGGGAAATAAAGACTATAAGGGCAGCAGAATCTATAAAATATATTTAAGAAACAAAGATGTATTGAAAAAATCAACAATGTTTTAACTGTAGATGATTCCTATCTCCATTCATTTTACCACTCTTTCAAGAGAGATAATATTAAGGGATGTGTTACATCTATGGCTCATGAAGAAAAACCCCAATTCCTTAGTACTGTGCAAGTTTACTTTTATCCAAAATATCCTCCCACGAAAACTGGCTATCCCACCCAAAAAAGTTTCCCACTAGAATACTGTAATGAGGTTAAACCATATCCTAGACCCAGTTCAAACAATTCTTTAGATCAGAAAAATACTACAGTTTAAATCAAAGTCGTGTGTACACACATTTTAAATTGCTACCACTTCAAAGTGAGATTCCCTTCAGAAAGTAACTAAAGTGAGGTACCAGGTTTATTACGCCAATTTCTGTTTTAACTTAACACAAGCCATGAAAACCTTTAATGGATTTTGAGAATCAAGCTGGGCTCTTTCCTCTCGTATCCCCACCAACGAAAGTGGCTCTGTAAATAAAATTAAGATCTTAATGATGCCTATGCAAACAGGGTAACAAAGATGTAATCAACTGGAACTTAATCAATCTTGTTGATGACAGAATCCAGCTCTCACTCTCATAGCACTGCAAAGACAGTAAAAAGCAGTAAAATCTTATTTTTGTCACTGATATCACGAGCACATATATACGCAACAGCTAAAATTGAGGCACTGCCATTTCCCCCCCACACTTCTCAGAGCAGCATGCACTTTAAAATTATGTTCTTAAGTTGCTCTTTAAATTAGATAAGGTATTACAGTACACATCTAATATTTACTAACCTTTGCAGAGGTTTCAGGAACACAGCATACAGAGATACTCCCTTACAGATTAATGACACCCATTCACAATGGCCTAGCATACCTGTCACATCCACCACTGAAGAGCATGACCAGAGGCAATGTTCACATTTTTGCCATTCCCTTTCAAGTTTTTAACATTTTTACTTTTTCTTCAGAAATTGTATAATACTTTATACTTAAAAATTGCATGCATTATGGGAGGAACAGAAGAGAGAGAAAGCAAGATAAACAGACTTTGCATTAATCACAGTTGAGTTCCAGTGTTCTTCCAGGATGATTAGGTGATCAGCAGAATACATGGTGAGATGTGGAGAAGACTCAAAACTAAACCACTCAAAACGTGCTAAAATGTCCCTTATTCGTTATTTGGGACACTATGCACAAAATTGTAACATTTTACAAACATGTGACATTAACTTTAAAATACCACTTTTGATTAAACACATCTCTAATTATCAGTCTTGAGTATATACTACAGATTAATTAGTAGTGCAGTGGGAGACAGACAGATAAAAATGGAGCCTTCCCTTAGATTAAGAACTAATAGGCTATAAACAAATGTCTGGGTAGGAGAGAAGGAATAGCAATTAGAGGCAAGGGTGCTAACAGACCCTTCACTGCCAACTATGTGACAAAGTTATCCATTATACACATTACAGTACATAAAGCCTCAAACTCTGGAATGTCATTTTATTTAAAATGCACAGCATGCAGTGTTTTGCAACTGTCAAAAGGCATGCTATTTTAAATTCTCGTAATTCACTGCCAAATGACATTTTACATTTTAAAAAATACTATTACAAAGCACTTAATCAAATCCTGACATTTTGGTCTCCACCATTATTATTTGTTGCAATGCATACAACTTAATCTCAACAAATTGATTTTGATTACTTGTGTTCCATATCAACTTTTCTGCCCCTCGGTATGTCAGTCACTAGACTACTCAGCAAAATAATCATCAGGATGCTCTTACTGTCACCTCTCTTCCATGAGCAATTTTCATGTTATTGAAACGTTTTAAAGTGCATAAAGGATTTTTTTCCTGGAGAAAGATTTATCTGTAATTATTCCATTAATATTTCAATTACCAGATTTGCAGGATTTGTACTCATTTGGCCTTTATTAAAAGCTATTTTGTACAGAATCTGCTATGACTTAGATACCTATTGCAGAAAGCCTTATGCTAGAAATCTATTTTGTAACACCAGAATCCTACATTTCAAACATGTAAATTTTATGCACTCAGTTTTGGGATTACTGAGCCATGACGCACAATCATTTTACTTCCCCCACACAAAGGGATTGTTTTGAAAAATGAAAAAGCTATCTACAGATTCATACAAGTAGTGCCTGTGTAAATAAATTAATATATAATCTTCATATCTATTTAATTATAAATATTTCTAGAATGTGTTAAAACTTTTATACACCTCTTGCCTCTACTAGCAAAGATCATCTGTAGAACATTGCCTCTTAAAAGTAACAAAAACTTTTATACACCTCTTGCCTCTACAAGCAAAGATCATCTGTAGAACACTGCCTCTTAAAAGTAACAAAAGCCAAATGAGAGTTAACAGAAAACAACTAAGTACTATAGTAAATCACTTCCCATGTTATATCCTCCAATGTTAGGAAGTTAAAACAAAAAAGGGGAGCAGAGGGAGTCTGAAGAGAGGATGTCTACCACAAGACATAGGCCAAGATCATCTACACAAAAACATTTATTGAGATTTCTACATCCTGATCAGTAACCCAATGTACTCTAGGGCCTGGACCAAGCACAAAGCCAACTGCATTCAAGAGACTGATCTGACCCTCTGAGATTATGTCAATAATTGCAAAAGTGACAGAAGCAAGTTTCCAGATCGTGAAACATGAGAAAAGAGCAATTCCTTTTGGAGGGACTGGTCTCAGAGAAGACAGACCATACTGCTAGAATATAACTGGTTCAAAACTTACAGTTGGAAAAAAGGAATAAAGCCTATTAGCATTAAATATTTGTATCTTGCAAGTATCTCCAATGGCTTCTAGAAGGAAGGAGTTAAATGACAGCAAACTCATGTGCAAGCCAACAAAAAACTGAAAATGGAGACGCTATATTCTGCATATTTTCAGGCATTAACATTTGCCTTATAGAAACTAAAAGATTTAAGTTCCAAATCCCAAATAAATGCACCTCCAAAGAGTCTCGTATAAAAATTATGCAAAGTAGCTTTTGTTGAACTGAACTTCTAGACAAAGTTGTTGACCTTCAGTCTAACCCCATTTTGGAAACTGAATCAGTAACAGTTCAGGAAGCACACAGCGTAAAGTAAATGAGGTATGGTATTGAGGTGACTGCCGTTTCATTAGCTATTCCATCTCTGTGCAAACTTGTTCCCAAAAAGAGAGTAATCCAAGGATTTCTTCTGTCAAATCTATAATATCTCCAAATCTACATGTCGAACATCAGGATTGCGTTGCTGAAACAAAAAATAAACTAATTTTATTCATAAGCGCAAATAATCAAATGTACCATGCTGATGTGGACAACAAAATCTGCCAAAATATTGGCAACCAGATAACAAATCTCTACTCATGGTAACATAGCAATTGTTTTAAAATGAAGACTAATATATTTAACCCATCCTACCAGCAGATCTAAAAAATGTGTCCACTGAGGAACATTTATCAGCATGTATTACAATAGTGACAAATTCATAGCTAGATCTGTTCTAATGCTAAGAATGAAGCAGCTCCCATTTTAAATAGGCAACTGATTAGAGATAATACCTAAATGAAAAAAAAGTTAAATACAGAATGTAAACAGGCACTTTCTGAATGCCAAAAGTACACAAAAGGAATGGGCCTATGCTATTAAAATGATTTGTAATTCTTAAAATACTGACCAAGTTTCTATTAAAGAAATACACATCTTCAAACCCTGAGAAAATATTATGTGGTTGTCATAATAGGTTATGTTTGCTTCAAGTGACTTGCTTCACAGTCATTTCTACGAGTGACTTTAGCTTTTCAATAGAAACACAATTACTGAAATCCCTATATACACACTGAAAATAGGATTAATATTTTGGAAATTATTATTCTTGAATCTGATGTTCAAAAATCACTAAGGGCTGGCCTGCAGATCCAATTATAGTCAAAACACTGATTTTGATTTTTAACTGCACCTCTCGGGGGAAATAAAACTAAAATTACTTAGAATGTTTTTCAAAAATCCTACCCATGCTAGGCAAAGACAGGTTTAAACAGATCTCTTGATGAAGGAAAAGGCAGTCACAAAGGCACAACACATATCTGACACACTATGCTTACGATCATGGCTCTGCACTCCCGTTAGAAAAATAACATGGAATTTATCTATGGCTCTATGGAAATATCTATCTGTCCAAATGTGTAAGTTTCAGATAAGGGAAACACTTTGACTACACCAAAAGCAAGAAAACATTTATCAGCAGAGACAGGAAAATCTTTTTTTTTTTTTTTTTTTTTTTTTTTTTAATCACAACCTTACAGTACCCCCCTAGGAAATGCAGAGAATGGTTATGTTTTGTATTGAAAAGTTTCCTTTGGAGGCTTTTCATTAATGTGTAATATAAACAGATGTTCACAGTTTATTTCATGCAAACTATTATGATCTATTTGTATATATGTTATTTCTTCTGATGGTCATCCACAAAAGGCATGAGACAGACACCATTACAACCTGGAAGGAACAGATAATGCTGTTTTTCAAGCAAGAGCATTCTCTCAGATTTTGGGATGTATCAGAATGTAAAGCAAGCAAAATGGACTCCAAAACCAGAACTGAATGTTCTGCTGCTTCCCAAATGTTCTTACAATTCATGTATACTTTCAGAATTCCTAGTCTCTGCTTAAAACTACGTGATCACACATCATCACATGATCTATCGATACAAAACCAGAGTTATACCACAAATGTATGACCAGATCTCTGTGCAACTCAACACCATCATTCTAGAATTTGGTATCAGAAAGGCACAGTGTAGAAGAGCTGGGAAAATATTTACTCTAAAGGCCCTTGTGATTAATCTATCCATTTATAAAATTATGATTTGGTATAACAGACAGACCACAAAGTAAATGAAAATAAAAGCGCACCACAGTTTTTCAGGTAAGATTTTAATAGTCCAAATCTAACAAGGCTGACACATCTTTACTGTTCCAACTGGAAGAGATAGTTAAATGCTAAGCTGAAAAAAAAGGATGGATGTCATATGGTAGAGCAGTAATAGCAATGACAGTCTGTATTACCAAGAGTAAAATAAAAAACACAAAAAAAGTAATTGGAAACCTCTTCATATGCAGTGACATCACTTTTGATACAACATTAAGTGCATGGTTAAAAACCATTTAAGTGGTTTCTCGTTACAGCTGATTTAGAGTTCAAGGCCTAAAAGTTACTTGACTTTGAAATCACTGTCATTTTCCAGAGAACACAAATAGGTAATTCAGTAAACTTCCGATAATCCAGCACCTTTAGGACCCAAGGGGTGCCGGATTATCAGAAGTGGAGGCTATGAGGTTTTAGGGTGGGAGGGATGGGGGGGGCGGTACTGCGGGACCAACCGGGCAGCACCCCAGCTGCTCCGCCTCAGACTTCCCCAAGTCAGCAGCTGCTGAAACTGACCAGCGGCTGACTTGGTGAAGCCCGGGGCAGAGCAGCTCCAATTGTCTGGCTGCCTGGAGCACTTCCAGGTTCCAGGTGGTGCCGGACTAGCAGGAGTGCCAGACCACTGGATACAAAACACCACATGTCAAACAGACCAGGAACAAGAGAAATGCTTGTTTTCAAGGTCAGATGTGTTCAGTCAAACAACTGAAGTCTACCCCTGCTATAAGAGTACAACAATAAAGCCCCAAATATCAGCAAAAGAGGAGCATTCAAACTGACTTATACCAGCTGAATATTACCTTTAGCTCCTTTTCAAGCCGGTCTACTTCAGCTCCCAGTGTGTCAATAACATTCTCTCCATGTTTAAGCATGAAGGCTTCTAATTCCTCAAGAGTTTTCACCTGCTGAATTTCCTGGCAAGAAAAGAAATATAATTTGAGATGTTGGAGGGGAAGGTTTTAAAAAAAAACAACAACACCCTCTTCATGTTGCGACTAAATATGAAAAACATTTTCATGTGTCCAACTGGGCAACCATTTGCAGAAGAACTGGAAAAAACAGGACATGTTTATTATTCATGACTTTTCAGTGAGGTGAAAATGAAGGACATTAATCTAAAACAGATTGGGAGGAAGATGGGCTACCAATAGACCTGCGCTGATGGGCTACCAATAAACCTGCATTATGTACATACACTTTTTCCTTTATTTACAAAATAGGCTTAGCAAATAGAACTTTGTCTTTCCAAAAAGTCATCTATTCCAGTCACCCAAATCTCAGTTTTCTCCTAACAAGGAAAAGTAGCTTCTCCCTTCATATTCTTTACTCTCAGTCCCTCTCAAAAATATAAGGCCAGAACAGGCAACCATGACCATATTGCTTGACTTCTTGGATAACACAGAACTTCTCCCAAATTTTTCTTGTTTGAATTACAGCATGTCTTTTATTTAAAAAAAAAAATCTGTTCTTGATTTTAAAATGGACACTGATAGAGAGTACCCCACAACCCTTAGTAAGTTGTTTGAATGGCAAACTATCCTATTAAAAATGTATACCTTATTTCCAGTCCAAATTTGTCTAGCTTCAATTTCCAATCACTGGATATTGCAATACTCTTGTCTGCTAAACTGAAGAGCTTGTTCTCCATGTCTGTACTTCTAAATAGTGATAAGACACTCCTGAGACTTTTCTCTGTTAAGCTAAACTAGATAGACTGTTCCAGGAGCTCAAACAGAGAAGCCATGTTTTCCAATCCTTTGTTCTTTCTTGTAGATCTTCTCTGATCTCTCTTCAATTTATCATCAATGTCCCTTCTTGAATTATGCACACTAACACTAATTGAATGTATGGCAAGTGGGCACACCAGTGCCAAATACAGAAGTAATGTAAGCTCCCAAATCCTACTCTATATTTCCTCATTTATACATCTAAGGATTACATTAGCCCTTTTGGCTACAGGGGACTGGGGACTCATGTTCAACTGATTATTCTGGAAAGCAATGACTAAAAAAAACTTGGGCCTTTGGTGGATAAAGTCCTTTATCCTGTAAGTATGGCCTACATTCATTGTTCCTAAGTTCACAGTAGGCTGTATTAAACACACATTTGATTGCTCCCAGATGGTCTTGCCATCCAGATCATCTCTCCATTATTTACCACTCCCCTCAAACTGTCATCTGCAAACTTCAGCAGTGATGATTGTTTTCCTCCATGTTACTGATACGAATGTTAAATAGTACAGGGCCAAGAACCAATCCTTGAGACTTTCCACTAGAAACATTCCCTCTTGAACGTAGTTCCCCAATTACTATTACGTTGAAACTTATCAGAGAATTTAAAACTTTTATTAAAGTGCCATGTTAATTTTTTATCGTTCTAGTTTGTTGTTTTTTGTAATCAAAATGTTACAGGGTGACAAGTCAACTGCTAACAGAAGTCTAAAGAAATTATATCAACACTTTTACCTTTATTAACCAAACTTGTAATCTTCCTCAAAGAAACAAGTTAGCTTGACAGGATCTGTTTTCCATAAACCCATGTTGATTGGCATTAATTATATTAGCTTCCTTTCATTCTTGATTAATTAAATCCTATATCAGCTGTTCCATTGTTTGCTTGGGTTCGCTGTCAGTTGACAGCCTATAATTAGGCAAGTTGTTCCATTTACTCTTTTTAAATACTAGCATGTTAGCTTTCTTCCAGTCTTCTGGAACTTCCACTGTTCCACAACTTACTAAAAATCAACATTAATGGTCCAGACAGCTCTTCAGCCAGCACTTTAAAATTCTTGGATGCAAATTATCCAGGCCTGCTGATTTAAAAATGTGTAACTTTAGTGGTAGCTGTATAATGGGAGTATTGCAGGCAACAAAGTAAATTTAGTAATACCTAAAGATCCACTATGCAACCTACAGGAAACACATATTCTTGGCCCTCAGAAAACTTCAAGTAAAACAGCCATGAGCTAAGGCTAGGAAAAGAAATGATGCCTCAAACAGAAGGAAAGAGATTAAGGAAAAAGGATGCAATGCCTTCTATCAAAGTACTAGGCAGACCTCTTCTATAAAGAATGACATTTTTCATCAAATAATAAAACCCAAACTAACAGATGCTTGAGAACTACAAATTGTATCCCAGCACTAACAAGAGTTTCCCTTAGCTGTCTCTCACCCAAATACAGAGCTGGCTAGATGCTGCTTAATGTGTAATTTCATAGGCATAGGGATACAGTTGCAGTTGATTTAAGACACAAACACTGCATCAAAAATATAGAAATCACACAATAAGATAAATGGTACCCCCCAGACATGAAGCAAGACTATATCAAGTTAAAACATTTCCTACAAGAAATAAAAAACATTTGGTTAATCTCTAAAACTCAAGTGCAAGGAGAAGAATAATGTGTTGAACGACCATAAACCAGATCTGAAATCATGCCACCTTTGGCTCCGATCAGAGTCTGCTTAGTCTGAGACCGCCAGTAATCAGCGTTTGGATGAGACATTTTCAGACAAAATCCTAGTGTGTTGAAGAAGTGGTCTTATATCACAAGTGAGCTGGCCTAGCTCCAATCTGCCTGGTCTTCCTCAATCAGGGCAGTTCTTAGAAAAAGCTTTTCAGAATAAGGAGCTGGGTATTATACAGGCGAGTCTAGATAGAATAACTTGTGAATGCTGCGCAATAGCCTGCTTGCCTTGCAATTTGACCTCTGCAGTCTTTTTTTTTTTTACTTCTTGCACTAAAAACATTCTGTAATGTTGCTATACATTACTGCTGCATCTGAGTCCAGAGGTGGAGACTGGTGGTATGATCTCCATATGGACTTTGTATCAGTGTGTTCAACATGTAAAAGTCATCTGGGATCCTTCAGGATGAGGAGCTAATACAAAACAATATATCCCATCAATTCTGAATTTTTTCTTTTAATATGCTTGATAATGGGAAAGAAAAAGATGCTAGAAATAACAATATTGCTTTATTAAACATACTTGTAACAGCTGTTCAATGTCTTGCTTTTCCAGGTAAGAACGAGTCACAACCCGTCCATCAAAGTCTACTTCTGCCTTGAATCTCACTTTGCTCAATCCCAAGTCTGTGGCTTTAACATCATGAATTGCTCTGAAATAGATATGACGTTCTGATTAAATAAATAAATGGCAAACAATGTTAGGATGGGGCAGTCATACAAAGTGATCTGGATTGCTTAGTAACCTGGCCCCATTCAAGCAAAACCTTTTAATACAACCCTCTGCAAAGCTATAAATCTAGGAACAAGTAACAAGCAAAATGGGGGTCTGTACCATGTGAAGCAGTGACTTTGAAAGTGACTTAGAGTTCCTAGCAGATAAGCAACTCAACACACGCTCTCAGTGTGATGATGCAGCAAAAAGAGCCAATACAGTTCTTGAATGTATGAAGAGAGAGTAGCGAGTACTTGCATGGCCATGATTTTATCTCTGCCTGTGCCACTGGTCAGACTGAGACCACGTCTCCACTTGCTGGAGGATTGACACTCTGGTAATCGATCCTCCAGGATTCAACTTAGCAAGTCTGTCAGCGTCGGTAACGGAAGTCAACAGGAACATTTCTCCCATTGACCTTTTGTTGTGGGCCTACCCCAGAAAAATCAGTGCAAGGTTTATCGACTCTAGCTACACAATTCATGTAGCTGGAGTTGCATATCTTGCATCTATTTTCTACGCCAGCATAGACTTGGCCTGATGTTGAAACACTGCAGACAGTTGTGGAGTGAATATTTAAAAATGGTTGATGAAAGCCTCAAGTAGGTAGAGAATACATAAAAATGATTTGAGGTTGGAGAAATCTCTTACAGTGATAGACTTAAAGAGCTCAATCAAAAAGATGGAAAGTTTTCTGCTTGATTACAGTGTACAAGCACTTTTACAGGGAGAAAAACATTGAGTACTAAGAGGCTCTTTCAACTAAAGCTGAAAAACCAATGGTTGGAAGCTGAAATCAGACAAATTCATATTAGAAATTAGCACCTTAAAAAAAAAAAAAAACCAAAACAGTGAGGGTAACTACCGAAATAAACTACCGAGAGAAATAACGGATTCTCCAACTCTTGACATCTTCAAATCAAGACTGAATGTCGTTCTGGGAGATGTATGTTAGTCAAACAAATATTAAATATCAGAGGGGTAGCCGTGTTAGTCTGAATCTGCAAAAGTGATAAGGAGTCCTGTGGCACCTTATAGACTAACTGAAGTATAGGAGCATAAGCTTTCGTGGGCAAAGACCCACTTCGTCAGATGCATCTGACAAAGTGGGTCTTTGCCCACGAAAGCTTATGCTCCTACACTTCAGTTAAACAAATATTAGACTCAATGCTGGAGCAACTAGGTGAAAGTTTGTGGCCTGTGTGTATCAGATGATCTAGACTAGATGATTTTATGGTCCCTTCTGACATAAAATGCGAGGAATTACAAGAGGAGGAAGGGGAAAGGAGCAGAGAGAGACAGAGTGTGGGGCTGTTGCCAAAAAGCTGTTTGCAGAATAGGCAGACAGGGACACAGACTGACCCTGTGAAGGATGTCTGAAGCAGTTGAGCCTCCCCTAAGCTTCCAAGGGATAGTCAGTCTTGTGGAAGAAAGATAAGGTATACACTGCTAATTGTATCAAAATCCTATCCTCCTATCCTTTGCTATATTCTTACTGATCACTCAGATTAAACAACACCTTCTTTTACGAAAGTGGTCTTGTCATCATATTAATCACTAGCTCCAACACCCAAACAGAAGTCTGAAGAGACGCTGAGCACAGTGAAATCTGCTCAGAAATCACAGCTGGCTCACAGAGTAGGGGAAATTGAGGATTAGATAAAGCCAAGAGTGCTAACTATGGGGAGGATGCAGTAAGAGACCAGAAAGGGGTCAAATGTACTGACAGTTCTGTAACTACACCCAATTTTTAATCGTACTGTTAAAATATCCACCACCACACATATTAATGCATGGTTAACAAATGTTTCATTAAGTCAGTGCCTGATGTTTGAATTTTCAGACAGGAACTTAAGAGGGTAAGAGGTGTTGTGAGTAGGATCCCTAATATCTTTGCAGACCACAGATTGAAAACCACTGTCAGAGGCTCCTGGGAGTCCACAGACTACGTCTAAGATTTCCAAATAGCTCTGTACCTCTTATGGGTGCTGAAATTTCTTATGGGTCCACAAATGAAAAAAGGATCAAATACCTCTGCTCTATGCCTGCAGAAACCTTCACAAGGCATATTACTCAAATTTGTTGTTTGCAACACAAATGATACAGCACCATGCTAATGCAGGAATACTTGAAACTAACTCTTTTTGTTAACCAAAAATGACAGTAGTACAATAAATATGAACACCATAAATACTCCAGCTATTGATACACACACAAAAAAATAGCCACGAGTAAAGGTGATTGAAAGTAAGGGTCAGCTATTTTATTTAAAAAAAAATTGATTTAAGTACTGGAATTTTAAAGATTGATAGTAAAAAAGCAAGGAAATAGGCCTTTACAGATAATGACTAATTTTATGTGTCTCTCTCTTCCACAAAATTCTTGTGCAGACTTCTGTAGTTAATAATATAATGCACCATAAAACATATTTGAAGGTTTTATTTTAGCTAAGCTTGAATTCTCCTGTTTGTTAATTCAATAAGTAAAATTTTTAGCACAAACCCAGCCAAGTTTCTGTCAAAACCCAATTCTGCCAGATTCTGGTTGAAAAAAAATCTATGCAAGAGAGGTACCACTGCTCCTTTGTTTTCAATTACTTAATTCATCTTGAAATGCTCTTAAACTATTTTTCTCCTCAGTCAAATACTAGTTTCCTGCTTTTTGATCTGCTTGATAAGAGACTTTTATATCATGAAGATCCTCATCTTATCATGAAGATCCTCATCTTACCTAACAACAGGGTCACTCTCCAATAACTCAGTAAGTCGCTGTAATTGCTCAGGATGAATAGATCGTCCCAGCAGCGCTTCTGTGTTGGTGTAGATGAGAAAAGCTGAGACAACTCCCAACAAAGTTCCCACACCTAGAGATCCCAGGCTGTCATAGTAAGGGTTGCCTTTTAAAAAAAAAAAAAAAAAAAAAAAGTCAATTTCACAGAAAACCTAAATTGTCAAAGCAAAATAAAACCATAACAACATTGAAAAGCAAACAGTATGTTTCCTCTACACGGGAATTACTGATTCTTCTAGAGTATTCATTGGTCACAATGTCTTTATTTCTAGTTGACAAAATAAAACTGAATTTAAAAAATTAAGAAAATAGAAGATTTCAAGTAAAAGTATCCAGTCCTGGAAGCCCCACGTACTCTCACCCTCCAGCTTTTTTTCTTATACATTTGTGGACTATTTTTTTAGGTACTCAGGCATGAGGCATCATACAAGTAACAAAACCACCAGCATAATCAAAATCTTGAAAGAAGAAATACCAATTTAGCAATAAAATCCATCAGCTTGATGGAGAAGAGAGAGAAAAACATTACACGATCTTTTTATAAAAACAAGAATCCTTATTTTCCTTAAAACATTCAAGCAATAACAAAAAACAGGGCAACAGCAATTGTACATCCTGAATGCATTACAGTACTCATATAAATGGGCACTTTATATACTTATTCATATTCACTTTTCTATCTGAGCAACACTGAATATTTTTACATAGCACCCTAAATATAAATAATCACAAAACATTTTATAGAGGAATAAAAGAGGAAGCAAACCAAATAAAGCTTGGCAAGTAATTAGTGAAGACCTGTAAAGAAAAGTGCCATGTTTATCTAGTTCTTATTAGGTCATTTCCAAAAAACACTACCCTATAATGGGTAAATAACCCTCAACTCACAGCTATGGAGTCTGATTCTTGCATGGAAGAAAGGAAGAGCAAAAATGCCAAGAATGCACACAACTCTTAATGCAGCTTCGTTTTGCAATGCTGGGGAGCAGGGGGCACAAAAATGTTACATAGATCATTCTATTTTCACCTACCTCAGTAGATGGGGAATACTTGGGATATCATGTATCTTTGGGGCTAAAGGTGAAACTCCAAAGCTACAACTTGGGGAAAGGGAAAAACCGGTAGCAGGAGTAATCTTTTGTAGCTGTTTTTCTTAGGAACGTGTTTGTTCATGTCTATCCCAGTAGGTGCATGCATGCCGCATGCACAATCATCAGAAGTCTTTTTTCACCTAATGGTACTCATCAGACCAGTTGTGGAATCCCCAAGATTGGCAACTACATGGTGTGGTATATAGGACTCAGGAAGCCCTCCACCTCTTGTTGGCTTTCTGACAGAGGGGAGGCAGGTGGGATTTGGAATGAACAATAGCAACTTATCTGGAAAAATTTAAAAAAGTAAATAACCGTATTTTCTTCAAGTGATTGCTCATGTGCACTCCAAAAAGTGACATGCAAGCAGTTTACCTGGATGATGGGTCAGAAATTACACCATAGCCATCTGGAGGACTGCCTTGCTGAACTCTGCATCATCCTGAGCCTGCTGGGTGATAGTATAGTGCATCGCAAACATGTGGACAGAGGACCATGTCACTGCCCTGCAGATGTTCTGAATAAGAACTTGCACAAGGAACACTGATGAGGAAGCCTGCTTCCCCATGGAATGAGCCATCAGGGCTGGAGCTGGGACCTGGGCCAAATCATAGCAAGTCCTGATGCAGGACGTAATTCAGAAAGAGACATGCTGGGACAAGATGGGCAGCCCCTTCATCCGTTCCATAATCACAATAACGAGTTACAAAACGGCTTGGTGCGTTTGGTGTAGAATGCTAACGCCCTCGTGACAGCCAGGGAGGGCTTCCTAAAAGTGATATATGGTTTGAAAAAGAACAGAGGGCAGAAAAGTGTCCTAGTTCACATGGAAATTGGAGACTGCTTTGGGCAGGAAGATCAGGTGGGGATGGACCTGCACCGTGTCCTTATAAAACATTGTACATGGGGGTGAAGAGGGTCAGAGGTCAGGTCCTGGCTGAAGTTCTGGTTACCAGGAAGGCGACCTTCCATAAGAGGTAAGACCGGGGACAGGGAGCCTCCTTCTGGAGAGACCAAAGGGAGAAGTGCTTCCACTTAGCTAAATACATGGCCCTAGTGGGTGGTTTCCTGCTACCCAGAGGACCTCCCTGACAGTCTGAACACTGAAACTCTCCAGGGTTCAGCCATGGGATGTCTACACACTGGCATAATCTCGCGCAAAAGCAGCCGCTCTTGCGCAAAAACCTGCTGCCTGTCTACACTGGCTACGTGTCCGTGCGCAAGTAAACTGATGTTCTAATGTATAAAATCAGGGCATCTTGTGCCAGAACTCTGACGTTCCCGCTCAGGAATAAGCCCTCTTGCGCAAGAGCTCTTCCAGAAGAGGCCAGTGTAAACAGGCAACACAAATTTCTTGAGCAAGAAAGCTCTATGGTTAAAATGACCATCAGAGCTTTCTTGCGCAAGACAGCATCTACACTGGCATGGATGTGCTCTTGAGCAAAAGCACATGCCAGTGTAGATGCTCTCTTCTGGAAGAGTTTTTGCAGAAGAAATCTTCTGCAAAAGAGTTTTTGCATGAGAACGCACCAGTGTAGACGTAGCCATGGAGTCTCTACATCATGAGATGGAGAAACCAGAAGCTGGATTGCTGCAACTGACCATGGTTCTAGATAGAGCGGTAGAGCTCTAGTTGTCTCTACCGAGAGGCTGAGCAGCATCGTGAACCAGTGCTGCCAGGAATATGCAAGTGTGATGAGGATCACATCTGCTCTGACCTGCTGAATTTTGAGAATGGCGTTGCTCAGGAGGGGGAAGGAAAGGGAAGGATCATGTACACCAGGTATCCCAACCACAGAAGTGAATGTATTAATGCTGAAACCACGGCTGTGGCTCCAGAAGGAGCAGAACCTGTAACACTTCCTGTTGCTCTTTGTGGCAGACAGGTCCATATAAGGATGATCCCACTTCTGGAAGATGGAGAAGGTGATATCTGTCCAGAGAGATAATTTGTGAATGTTGAGAGAGCAACTGAGATGATCAGCCCGGATGTTCTGGGCCCCCAGCAGGTAGGACTCCTGCAAGTGTATCCAGTGCATAATGCAAAAGTTCTGCAGGTCAAGGGCTTTGCAGTAGAGGAGAGAGGAGCGAGCACCACCCTCTTTGTTTATATAGTGCATTGCAGCCATGTTATCTGTCACCATGGCGATGTACTGGCCCTGTAGATGGTGAAGCAAGTCCTCACAAGTGAAGCAAACCACCTTGAGTTCCCTGACACTGATGTCAGGGAGAATTCAACCTGAGACCATAGCCCTCTGAGTACCGAATTCTCCCAGGTGCACTCCCCAGCCCACCTCTCACATATCTATGACCAGAAACAGGGAGGGTGGGAGCTGGCAAACGGGAGCCCCTGCTCACACCCCTTAAGGCTACAGCCACCAATTGAGCAAGTGGAGAACTGACTCTGGTAGAGTGGCCAGAGCACCTGGAAGATTGCTGCTGGGCCTATGGACCATGGCAAAGCAGGTCCGGAGGGGCCAAAGGGTGGAGCCTGGTATGCTGTATGACAAATGTGAAGGCCACCATGTGGCCCAAGAACCTCGTGCAATTCCTGACCATAGTGGTAGGGAACTGCTGCAGGATGTGAATACCAGCCATGAGCATGTGAAAGCGGGACTTGAGGAAGAAGAATTTTTGCATGGGTAGAATCCAGAAGGGCCCTAATTAACTCTATTCAGTGAGCTGGGACCAGCTGAGATTTGGGAACACTGAGAATGAGATCCAGGTGGCAAATGTGGCCCTTATCGGCGGATCTGCTTCTGGGATCTGTCCTTGATCAGCGAATCATTGAGGGACAGGAAGACCTGTACCTGGCTTCTGTGTAGTAAGGCAGCCACCACCACCACCACGCACTTTGTGAACACCGTTGGCACCACAGAGAGACCAAAAGGGAGACCTGTGAATCGGTAGTGGCGGCTGCCCACTAGGGATGTAAGCAACTAGTCAACTATCCGATAAGCAAAAGCTAATTGGATAGTCAATTAGTCCCTCAACTAGCCACTTTCCCCCGCCTTGCTGCCTATATCAGAGGCAGCAAGTGGGGGTGGAGCAGGACCCAGTGTTGGGGGGGAGCCAACTTAAAAGCTGGTTCCACCAGCACCATTGCTATAGGGGCAGGGGAGGCAGGAGGGTAGTGGGGACCAGGCGTGAGCTGGGAATCAGCTGATTCCCAGCTCGTGCACAGTCCCAGACACTTCGCCTCTGCTTTTTAAAAGGCTAAAGCCCTGATGGTAGGCCTAAGATGCCCAAAATAGCCACTGTACAGGCACCTGTCATTGCAGAGGCCAAGCAGGTAGTTGTGCCAGGGGAGCCTCCCATTAGCAGTGCTGAGAGCAGGAGCAGTTCTAGTCACGGCGATGGAGTGTGCCACTGAAGCAGAGTGGGTTTGCCTTAATGCCATACAGAAGCTGGTGCTGGCATTAGGCCCGGTGGATGCAGTGCCGGAGGGGGGTGACTGCTGCAACAAGGACAGTGCCAGGGGCTGAGGCAAAGTGTACCGGCCCACAGCTGGTATCAATACCAGAAGCTCAGACTGCATTGGAGCCGGTGCTTTATGCTCCCTCTTTTAGATAAGGTTGCATGCCTCCTCAAAAGTGTCCAGCATCTAAGGGAAGGATTTCCCTCATAGGGGAGTCCAATGACACCAGACTCAATGGCCTGCCTTCAGGGCTGGAGTAAACAGTGCCCACAGACAGTGGTTGAAGGCCTCCTTATGTGGCACCAAAAACTGAATGTGGAGCTGGGCAAAGAAGTTTGTTGTGCATACCAGGGAGTGTGCCGCTGTTCTTTCTAGCCTTCTTTATGAGATGCCCATGTGTTCTATACCAAAGCCAATGAACTCCACGGAAGCCGGCACACTACACACTGAAGACAATGGTATTGGGTCTGGCTCTGGATTTCTGGCTCTGAAGATCAAAGTGCTGATTCCTCTGGCAAGAATTTCAAGCACTGATCTTGCTCTCAGTCTGAGGCTTGAAACTCCTGCAAATACTGCACTTATCTGCTAAGTGCCCTTCACCTAAACACTTGAGATAAGCGGTGATCCCTGCTAGGCATAGGTTTGTCAAAAGTGACAATTCTTAAACACCAGCTGTGTGTCCCAGGGGAACTTGAACAAGAAACAAAAAATGAATGGGGGTGAGGGAGCTTCAAACAACACTAATGAATAAAACAGAAGACAGGTAGGAGAAAGCTAAGGTTGTCTTGCAGAGCAAGAGAACAAGTGCTCCAATGACTGTCACTAGCGGTAAAAAGGAACTGAGGAGGTACGAGGGCCAGCTGAACCCTATATACCATGCCATACCACTCTAGGGGGCTTCACAGCTGGCCCAATGGGTACAGCGAGGGGGGGAAAAGCCTTCTGAACATCATGCACACAGCATTCACACACTATTTGAATGCATATGAGCAATCACTTGAATAGAATTTTCTCCCTAAATTTTCCCCTCATGCAAACTAAAACAGTGCATGACGCAGTAACAAGGCTATGTGCTGCTGCCCAGAATACGAATGTATGTAATCAGACTAGAAATAAAGTGATTTACAAATTTGACTAGAATAGATTTTTTTCATAAAAAGATTCAACTATGACTTGCTTAACTCAGATCCAATTAAAAGGAAAATGACCCATCGTGCAAACTTTAAAGTCTACAAGTGGACCCACTGACTTCAATGAAATTATTGGAGCAAGAGTTTGCAGGATTTAGGCTAATCCATATGACCAGTGTTACTTAAACTGTGTTCTGTGGCAAACCGATGTGTCGCGGAGAACAACAGAGTTCAAAATGGCCACCCTTAAAGGGATAGGCGACTACCCTTCTACCCCTATTAACTACTGTTCCCCAACCTTTTAATATCTTTTTAGCTTAATAACTCTCAGGCCCCCCCCCCTTTTTTTTTGGTTCAACAAAAAGTCCTTTGCGATTCTCATAAAAAAAGTTATTTTTTGGTGTTCCTTCATCTTAAAAAGTTTAAGAATCACTGCATATAACCCTTCAAAAGCATTATAAGAACTCTTTCAAGCTATAATCTCACCAAAAACAAGAGTTTGGAAAGAAAAAAAAAGTGTTCAAATATCTCCTAATTTCAAATATCTTCAACTCAATATACAGGTTGGATACCCCTAGTCTGACACCCTCAGGTCCTAAGCGGTTCCAAACTAGGGAATTTGCTGAACCAGGAGAAGTCACTTTTCAGCCCTGCCACCCACCCACTCCTTCTGGTCCTAGCCAGCCCCCCACCACCAGCCCCAGCCTCACCACCAGGCAGTGGGCTATCCCAGGCCCATGGCCTGGACTCTACTAGCATCAGTCCCACCGGGATCACAGCTGCTGGCCTTCTTCTCCTGGTGCTCTCTCGACCAGGAATATTCGTGTTCCTGCTGGACCACGGATGTTGCCAGACAAGAGAGTCCAAGTTTAAGGAGGTGCAACCTATACTTGAAATTAGGGATACAAAATCCCATTTAATTGGCTAACCAGTTTAACATGCTGTTTAACTCATTAACCGATTCGGGGAGGAGAGGGGGGAGTGTCACTTCAACCCAGATGGAGCAGCCCTCTTGCCTGCTCCTCCTCTCACCCCCAACCATAGGCAGGTGCTGCTTTAGTCCCCTGGTCAGAGCAGCCCCTGCTGTAGCATGTCCCATGTGAGGCTGAAGCAGCCCCCTGACTGTGGCAACTGCTCCAGCCCCCCACCAGTTAAATCTTAATGGTAAACCTCACCTGTTAAGGGTAAGGCTTACCAATTAAACATTCACATCCCTATTTGAAATCAGATTGGAGAGTAATATACAAGGGCATGTCTACACTAGTCCCCTAGTTCGAACTAGGGTGGCTAATGTAGGCATTCGAACTTGCAAATGAAGTCCGGGATTTAAATATCCCGGGCTTCATTTGCATGTTCCCGGGCAGGCGCCATTTTTAAATCCCCTTAGTTCGAACTGACTGCCTGCGGCTACACGCGGCAGTCAGAAGTGAATCCGAACTAAGTCCTTAGTTTGGATTAATTGTTACATCTCATTGGATTAACTGTTACTCCTGCAATGAGGTGTAACAGTTAATCCAAACTAAGGACTTAGTTCGGATTCACTTCTGACTGCCGCGTGTAGCCGCAGGCAGTCAGTTCGAACTAAGGGGATTTAAAAATGGCGCCTGCCCGGGAACATGCAAATGAAGCCCGGGATATTTAAATTCCGGGCTTCATTTGCAAGTACGAATGCCTACATTAGCCACCCTAGTTCGAACTAGGGGGCTAGTGTAGACATACCCCCACTGTTTTCACCACGGTAAAAGCCTCCTCCAAAAGATCTGCAATTGGGCAGAGAGATTTTCATTAAAATATGCCATTACAAAAATCACAGATTCATCAGTTCTGACAAATTTTAATGCAAGCTTTTTTTAAGGCAATATGTAATGTAACTGAATGTCATCACAGAGAAACTGCAGGAATGGGTTGAAAAGCAGAAGTCTATATAATCTTGGTTGCAGCACTTTTCACAAACCGAAGACTATGAAGTGTCATACACCGGTCATATCAGACAACAGCATAATTTATAAGTGATTAATAAACAGATTTAAAAAGTCAGTTGATAAGAAAAAAAACCTTTTGATGTCAAAACATTTTAAATTTTTTTTTGAGTCAGAAAATGGGAAGAGGTGCAAACATTTAAAACAATTTTTAAAAGAGACAAAAGGAATACCCCTGCATACAAAACATAAGGACATTCTCGCAAATCAAGTCAGCCTCAATTTAAGATGGAGATTTACCTGTTAAAGAAGTCAAACCCATGCACGTAGCAGCTAATGTCACACCCAAAACTGCTGCAGCATCCTCCAGCAACACCACATTTGTACTAGGATCACGACTCTGCCTAACTGAATATTTAATAAACAGTGTTGAAATCTTAGCTTTCAGTGTTTAACAGTACTAATTCTAGAAATGTAAAAGATGATATATTTACACACATGTAAAAGCATATACTTTACATCTAAATTCTTCCTGTAAGTGTTCATAATTACATGTAACTTCACAACAATTACAGAAGCTAGTTTAGAAGATGTATAAAACTAATAGGCAATTTATTCTGAGAATTGTAACTACTGTAGCACTTACATGTGTAAAGTATTAAACAAGGCAATAGGTTTTCACTAAATTTATAAAATATACTTAATACTGTCATTCATAATAATAAAAAAGAAAACAGGTAATTATACTGTTCTATTTATATGCTAATGTAGGTAATAAATACTATTTTTAGTAATAACACATACTATAATGATATAAAAAGAGACATACCATATTGATAAAATGACAGACCCTTGGCCCGGGCACTCCTCCGAATTTCATTTATAGCAACAAGAAGGGTAGCTGAAACAAAAGTAATATGGTTGCTGAAAATGGTTAGAGGCAAAGTAAACTTTGTTTCTACTGTACGAAGCAAGGAAAAACTCCTGTTCATATAATAACAAGCTAATTACGGTGATCCTACCAAATCATACCAGCAACACATTTATTTAGTACCCAATGCCCATAACTAAATAGGTAAGTTTAAACACATACAGAGTACACTAATTTCTACCTAGAAATATGACTAAAATTGTAATAGTCTGAATTTTAAATTATTTTTCATGGTTTAAATTTGTGAAAGTATAAATATTTCAAGAATTGTAATCTTGTATCTACTCAGTACATAATAGCAAAATAATAATTCTGTTAAAAAACATCAATATATTACATGTGATTGTCACCAGAAAAAGTGTTCTGATCATCATTATTGTAAGCAGTGACAATTCAAAAAGAGAAGGCCTACCCATGCACTCTTTTCTACAAACAAGCTAACCCACTGGTGAATTCTACTGTCACGTAATAGCAAAAAACTTGCTACAATCTCAGATTATGCACCAAACATTCTTACATGTAGTTTCATATTCTATGAGATTACTAGAGACCTAGAAAATACATTCATACATATGTATCACATTAGTTTCCTGCCTTTGCCAAAAACAAAAATTAAATAACATAAATAAATTCAAAGCAATGTCAACCAATGCAACTATGGATGCCAGATCTCAACGCTTTGCAATTCTGCAAGCAACAGCTTAATAAACTATCTCAAGACTGCTGGACCAACTTTTATCATCTTAAGAATATACCACAAATATTTCAGGACACTACATACCTCCTTCAGAAACCAGTGAGCCTGCTAAAATACAATAAGCCTGTAAGAATAAAATCCCACAATTATTTTGTTATTTTGAATGGAAACTGTTTCACATTTACATAGAACTCTTCACCACAATCTGCAGAAGAACTTTACACACAAAAAATGCTTTACCCACAATTGAAAACTGTAGCTACTTCAAGGTGGCAGACAAAAGATTGAACTACCAACCAGATAATAATTAATACACTACCACCCAACATGGGGGGGGGAATTTTGACTAAAGACAGCAAGAAAATCCCATATTCTTAACAAATGGACTGAAGTAACAGTTCAATGCAAAGGAGAGGGAAAATTGGTTTAAATAACCTCACATAGATACACTGAGTTCCACAGAACAAACAACATCAGAT